CGTGTGCGTGTGATGTGCGTGTGCGTGTGCGTACGTGTGTGTGTGTGTGTGTGTGTGTGTGTGTGTGTGTGTGTGTGTGTGTGTGTGTGTGTGTGTGTGTGTATGTGTGTGTGGGTGGGTGTGTGTGTGTAGTGAAAGTGGATTGGCAATTCAGATATTTACCTTAACTACTACGTGATAGTTAAACCAGTACAACATGAATGCGTTGGCGTGACCGGTAAAGGACCATACTTTCTCAGAGTACCAACGTAAAGTAGCACCGGAGACCCTTTTTACTGGAAACGAAGCGTTCTATCTTATTTCTCACGTGTGATAACGCACTTGCATTTTAATTCGTAACCAAGGATAAATTTTGATGTCTATAGGCCACAGTAACTTTATAGAAAAAATGTAAATTGTTTTATTTATGAATAACACAAAACTTTCAAACTTACCCGACGTATACCAAAAACGTGAATTACGATTCCTATATATGGATGTATTCCGATACACGGTTATATTTTTTTTACGTCGGACGTAAAATATCCAGACGAAGCGCGAAATGCAATTGTTAATTCGCCAGCTAATTGTGACAATTAAGACAAATCCTCTCTCCAATGGAAGTAATGTTTAGCGGTGGACTTTAAATGGGTCGATGATGATTAATAAATATATTTTTGTTACATTTCTTGGTTCACCAGTAGCCAGTGGTGTCTCATATTTGTTCTGTAATGAACTTGTGTGTGAATCTCTAATCTCTTATATGTAAATATCACTAAATTATAATTATTTTTCACACACGTTCATTTACTGTTGTTTTTTTGATCGTGACCCTGGCAAGGGAAAAAGGTTAGAAAGAGATATTGGTTCAATTTCTAATCGATTTTAAAACCTTGAGTTTTTTTTAATTAAATTTGAGTGCGTGACTTCGTTTCACCCAGTTTCTACAAATAAGGCAAACACAAGCACAATGATATAGCAAAATAATGTATTATCGTGTCGGGTATATTGAATCTTTTTGTACCAAATTAGTTATATTATAGAATTATTATTTAAAATTAGTTATATTATATTGTATGAGAATAAATACGCATGATCCTACATACGTATTTCTCCTTCTCATATCAAATTTGTAATTAAATGAATGAATGAATGGAATGAACATTTTTATGACTAATATTAATTTTATCATCATCATCATCATTACAGCGGTTCACAAGTACACTGCTGAACGTAGGCCCCCTAAGGAATTCCACAAAGCACGGTCCTCTGCCACCTGCATCCATCGACTTAATGCATGTCTTACCATGTCGTCACTCTATCTAGTGGGAGGAAGCACTGCACTTCACCAGCCGGTACGAGACTGCCACTCGAGAATCTTTTTCCCAACGGTTATCGGTTCTTCGAGCTATGAGTTTCTCTGCGTGAAACTTAGGAATGAGGATACCCGCAGTAGAATTAGAGTAACCAACATAGTCCAACGGATTCGTAAATTGAAATAGCAATGGGTCGGTCACATAGCTATTAATTTATTTTAACAATTTTTCAAAATTATTTCTTTTTAAGGAATAAATTACAATAAAGTATTCAAAATAATCAATTTTTTTTAACTTATAAAATGTAATATACTATGTGGTTTCTGGATACAATGTTTCATATTATACATGAATATTTGAACTTAATAATACACTCTGAGATCTATCAAAACAAGGTAACTAAAGCAGCCATGAGATACAACCACAAATATTGCTTAAATTAATTTAAAGTAAAAATGAAATCAGCATGCCCGAGAAATAAATTGACGATTACTTTTCAACTACTTGCAACAGTGAATAACACGCGGGTACCTGCATTCTTAGCTGTTCTTGTAGTATATATTACTTTATTTTTTGTTTTAATGAGAGAAATCATAATATGCTCGGAGTTAATAGACTGTAATTCATTAAAAAAACACAGAACGCAAATGATATTTTTTGTTTAGTACAAAACTTTCTTTAATTTTGAACGTAATTTTATTAGATTAACGTAAAAATATGTATATGGGTGTGAACGTAGTGGAATGTTCTAATTAAGTTCTGTATAACACACATCTGGCCATCAAAATAATCTGAAATTTTTCAGATGTATTATTACATTATAGGAACCAATAACAATATAAAATTTTAAGACGATAACCTCGCATTATCACCAGGGTCATCACAGCTCATACTTGTACCGTAAAACCATACCCGTAATGGCTGGCAAGAAATTTTTCTTAAAAATTTAGCGGTAGTTTTTAAAATTTGGTAGTTTTGATTTAACGATATACATATTTAGTTATTTAATTACTAATAACATTAAACAAACAAATGTTTTGCTACTGAAGATAATCGATGTAGTTTCTATTATTATTTTTACATTTTAAATCTATTAGGTAGTTTTAATGTTATAAACCATTTTCCGGAGACGGCCCTTTTTTATTGAAAGTGAAAGGCATTTTGTTGTTAATATAATAATATAACACTATTCATTTCTTGCACTTTTAATTTTTATAAATAAGCTTAATCATATAATAAGTTTAATCTGGTGGTTATAATCTTCATTATCACATATTCCTACAATTAATGTTGTTCCATATTTATTGAATACCATGTTTAATAACATTAAAATTAATAATTTTATAACCAATAACTCTGATATTTTTTCCAAATTCTGAGGATTTAAAGGTATTAAAATGTTTGATAAGTAACAACACTTTTTATCTTGCTTTGATTACTATTTTTTAATCAAATTACATAAATGTTACGAACGACAAAAATTCTGTCCAGATTTCAGAACAATAACAATTTTGTATGGGTTTCATCATAGGTAACCGTACAAGTAGACCGAACAAGCGCGCCATCGCCTACTAGACGTTAACACTTGACTGCTATTTCAATTTTGACTACTATGACACATCAGGGTTCAAGTGTAGGTATATAAAGATTTCAGCTTTTCAAAATTAATGGAAAAAAGTTAAGTTACTTAAATTCACCACCTCATCATATATTATATATTTATCGGAAAGTATTTTCATATTGTAAGAAATAAAAAAGGAAAAGTAGTCCAAAGTATTGAACTACTACTACTGGACTACTGTACTACTACGTACATTTCACTCAATCTTTCCTTCATTCATTCATTTCAGTCTAGAAAAATTTGATCACTAAATACTGAATATGCAAGCCTTCTCAATTAAATGTGGCACATCATGATATAGTTAATTTGAAACGCAAAACAATATTTCCCCTTGTATATTATGTAAATGAAAAAATATACCCATTAAAAAAATATGTTTATTCAAAAAATTCAGAGTACAGAAATGTTAATTAAAGATTCAAAGATTACAAAAATTACATATTATGATATGACTGTTTTGCATTTTATAAAAAAAAATCCATAAAATTTTTAAAGATTGTACCAACGCAATTAAATTTAATAATTGACAGTTACAAGTTGTAAAATAATTGTCCGTCAATTAAAAAAAATAATGATGTTATTTAACTTCACAATAGTATGATTCAATATTTTAATTGCATCTCATTCGCTATTGCTTTGCTTTTTATTATTATATGATGTAGTATTTTTATAATATGAATATAAATAATAAAAATAAAAATATAAAACGTTTAGTTAAGTTTAACTAACTTATTGTCAAAGGAAAGATAGGTACGCTCTCATAATTATTTTGGTTGAGTAGGTAGTGCAGAACTATTTTGATAATAAATTTTGCACTTAAAAATCAAAGGACTAATACATATTGCACGTTTATTATTAATGACGGTATACGTATACATGGTAAAAGCCATCATCAAGCAAAGGAAAGTAAAATCATGATAGGTAATTAGGTAAATATATTATGATTAACCTTATAATATAATATCCACCAGATCGAATTTCGATCACGACGGCTAGATTAGCCATCTTGCGTAGTATATGTTTATATATATAGTGCACGAGAATGTGCGAAATCACAAGTCCACTCTCTATTCCTTCACTCTCATACGGGACGACAATCCGACCCGATTGAAGAGAAATCTAGCGCCAGGTGTAACAGCTTTATTTACTTTATGAGGCACGTTAGTGAAACACCGCCAACTTCCTGACTCCGGGTTGCTACTGAGAAGTTCATGACAGAAAAACCAAATAGTTGATTTAAACTCACCTCAGACTCAAATACAGATCACATAATCAGCAGATTGGCCTACTAACTAATCACCCATTAATTAATTAACTTATTAGTCATCATGTAGCCTTTATAATCAGACAATTACCGTGTAACTTTTAAAAGGTTAATCTAGATAAACCTTATAACAGCTACACGGTAATGACAAGATTAATAGTTACAAGAAGTCGTGACATTATCCTTTCCATCCGCATGAAACCTTTTTCTTATTTATTGCTTGCAAATTTAAAATTTTTTATTTTCTATAATATTATTAGTATATGTTTCCATAATGTTATAGATATGCAAGCCGATTTTTTTAATTAAAAATTGTGTTCAAATTCACTAATCGACTACTTTCTATCAGGTTATTTGAAGTAGCTTGCAAGAATACTAAATAATACAAATAAATTTCGCCAGTACAAAAAAAAATGAAAGCATACGTAATGTAAAACTAAAAAAACATTCCTAATTATACTATTTTGAAATCTATACCGTATTACATCTCTGTGTACTATTACAAATCAAATTCGATAGTTGTTTTATGAAATTATTTAATAGTTTTTCGTGATTTATAATAAATATTCAAAATGATACTAATTTTTAAACTACACGGGGCATTCTCTAAAATATACTTACTGATTTATATTTTTATAACGGAGAATAAGTAACTAAAAGCACCCATAATGTAACTGAAAATATATGACTTAAATATAATTAATCGAATATCCAATCTTCTTTTATCATATCACATGCTTTTTCTGCTATCATTATTGTTGGTACATTCGTATTGCCTCTAACGATTTTCGGCATTATAGATGCGTCGATTACTCGAAGTTTATCTACACCGTAAACTTTTAATCTCGGATTCACTACCGCTCCCCCTATCCCAAACAGGCCCCATTTTACACGTGCCTACGGGATGATATATAGTAGACGTGTATTGCATTAGAAGGCAAATAAAATATTCATCTGAACCCCATTGATAACTTTCACATCCTCTAATTGGATCTTTCACAAAGCTTGCACCACTTTGTTTAAATGCTTTGGTATTTTCTAAGCTTACTACATAGTGCATTCCGGCTAATAGCATATCCATGTCTTCTTTAACTGTAAAAAATCTAGGATATATTAGCGGTTGACCAAATACTGGGTCTGTTTGATTAAGTAATATAAAGCCTCTACTTTTAGGAGTAAGTAATAAAGGCCGGGCTGCTAGTCCATCGTAAAATGGTAATGGAAAAATATTAGCAGATAAGTAATTTGTTGGATCGGAATATAATTCCTTCACGTTTAGTGCATCAAAATGATATTGTATATCAGGAGCATCTTCAGCGGCGTATTCTGTTTTTATAAAAGCTATGGCGCTTAAAGTTCCTGTAGCAGATAGAGGGCCTGATTTTGTTGGATATTGTTGATGATATTTGTATACTTCGTCCAACAACTGTTCACCGCTTACTAAAGTAGATGTTTTATTGGAAAGTTGTAATACCAACGCGCTCGTCGTAACGTGATCTTGAAGGTTTAGACCCACTTTGAGATCGGCAATAACAGGTATATTAAGATTTTCCAAATGATATCTTGGACCTATTCCAGATAACATCAAAATTTTCGGAGAGTTTATCGATCCCGAGCTTAGTATTACTTCTTTTTTACAAAATGCAGAATAAGTTATCCCATTTTTAATATAGTGAACACCGATAGCGGATTTTGTTGTGTGATCGATTGCTATTTTTGTAACAAAAGCTTCATTAATTATTATTAAATTTGGTCGTTTTTCTCTAATTGGTTTTATGTAAGCAACATTTGTAGACATTCTACGCCCATCTTTAGATGTCGACTGCCCTATATCCGTACCAACTTGATTTTCTCCATTGAAATCGGTTACGGGTAAACCTTTTTCTTTGAAAGCTTGCACTAACATAAGTGTATTAATATCAGTATAAGGAAATCTCTCAACGTTCAATGGTCCACTGATAGAGTGATAAAAAATATTATTAGCTTCAATATCTTGGTTATTTTCTGCTTTCTTGAAATACGGCAGCACCTGTAAATAATTGAAAGGGTATAATCTACAATTAGATATAAGTACCATCAAACATCACTTTTTATACATGTGGTGTACGTGTGAATATCATGATTAAAAATATTTTCTCCGTAGGTGCCGAGCGCGAAAGATTTCGCAAGAGACGCAAGCGTTCTTCCACGAGGGGTTCGTTCTACGAGTGCTAAGATAGTATCTATCCGTTATGGTGATTCTTCCGGTGCAGGCAAGGAAGGCGGTGTTTTTTATTATACTAAATATGTAGTGTTGCTGTTCGTTTGAATACTGTGGCGTTATCATGTAATTATGTCCCTCTCGTTACACCAGTGTGTAATTATGGCGGAAACACATTTATATACGGTTAAACTATAATTGCTCCATACCGAATGTACGAGTATAGTGGGTTACGCCGTATTATTACTGATGATGATTAATAGCGTAAGCAAGAGAGCAAGTTCAATATCAGCTCTCACACTATTATTATTATTTATTTTATCACATATATTATCAAAAAACTATAATATTATAAATATAAATACAATCTATATAAATAATATTATTATTTCGGTTATTATCCACCGCGGCGAGGAATTCTAAGCCATCGGTGAAGTTAGGCATCCAAAGATAGGAACCTTCTTACTATTCGAGCCGTATTTAATAAGGCCGATTTTTGAATTAATGCCTTCAGCCATTTGCCCAAACCTAACTTGGACAGATAATCGTCCATATTTTTACCAATAAGCCCATTGACTGATACAACTATTGGTACAATTATAGTAGAATCAGCGTCCTACATAGCGACAATCTCATGAGTCAGGTCGATATATTTTATTTTTTTATCATTCTCTGCTTTTACGAGATTCTCGTCATTCGAAACACTGATATCCACTATTATTGCTTTGCGTGTAGTTCGGTCTATCACCACAATGTCAGGTTTATTTGCCACTATAAACCTGTCTGTGATAATTGACCGATCCCAGTACAGTGTGACACTTCTATTTTCAAGGACTGGCTTTGGTTCATACTTATATAATATGGAACGTCATGTTGAGTAAAGCCAAATTTAATGGCAAGCTGTTGGTGTATTATTCTAGCTAATTGGTTATGTCTGTGCAAACACTCACCATTTAATAGTTGTGAACAACCGGAAATAACATGTCTGAGGGACTCTCCAGAATGGTGACATGCGCGACATACGTCAACTGTGCCGTCCCTTAGAATATATCTCCGGTAGTTGTTCGTTTTAATTACTTCATCTTGTATTGCACAGATAAAACCTTCAGTTTCTGCAAAAAGGTCACCAAATTGTAACCAATGTACTGAAGCAACCATGTCTACACAAGGATTAGTCAATGCTTTAAAAAATCGAGCATGCAGTTGTTTGTCATTCCAAACCTTTTTGCATTCATCTATAGTCATAGTATGAGTCCTCTGCCAGTCCTTTGCCAACATATTAAGCGGGGTTAATGATTTTTCATTAATCACTACGTCATTATGAATGTGTGATGTGTCTTTTTTTTAAATAAAATAGTCTCTGAGGTTGTATACTTCACGGTTGTGTAGGTTTTTAATGTTTAATAAGCCCCGTCCACCATCTTTTCTTGGAAGATACAACCTCATGACAGATGATCGTGGATGGTGCATTCTGTGCGTAGTCATTATTGTACGGACTCGTCTATCTAAGTCATTCGATTTTGTTTGAGCCTACCTTGTAACACCAAAAGTATATAGAAAGCTAGGTATTACCCAGGCGTTATATGCTCTAATTTTGTTTCCGCCGGATAAATGACTTTTGATAACTTTTTTTAATCTTGACCTAAATTTTACTTTTGAATTTAATTTAATATTTTTGTCATTAATTCCTAGTGCTTCTGCCATGTCAAGTATTTATAGGTTTCTCTTTCAGTTTATTATTATTATTATTAAAAAATAAATCTTCTGATCTATTACCGATATTTCCAAAATATTTAGTACACATTTATTGTTATAACATAACATTTGTGAAAATTTATCTTAACTTTTTGAGTTTTATCTTTCTTCATTTTACAAAATGTCTATGATATAAGGCCTGATTCTATTATTATTAGGGTATCTGTAGTTTTCTTATCAGGTTGGGTTCCACAGATATACATTTCTGAATGAGAATACTAATATACATAAATATCAATAAAATATAATAAATACATAAATAAAAAGCTCAATCAGATGGAAGCCCTCAGCAGGGGAGACTAGACGGCTGAGGGTTAGGGGAAAAGGGAAAG